GCTTCTGTTTTGCTGGTGAAGAAAGGTCTCGAATGCAGGTTAGATCAATGGCCCTTCAGTGTAGCTGACGTCCCGCAACAAAGAGGAAACAATGACTGTGGGATCTTTGCATGTCAGTTCTTGGAACATTGGGACGGACACCTGGATGTTTCTTGCAAGACCTCCTAGAGAACTGATGCACACGTTGAGCTACAACGTACACTGATTGCATTAAGGCTCATTATGTGGGACAAGAACCAAGTGAAAGATGAAGTACTAAAATGGGTTGAAGACTAGAGGAGCCAGGATGGGAAGGCCAAGGGGGAGAATATTTTATAAATCGAAGATTGTGTGATTATCTTGGGAAGCTAGACAGTTAGTAAGTTATCCAAGTAACTTAGAACCAATGACATTTAGCGGTTGATAACCGAATACTTGTTCATTGCTAACAAATTACTAGAACATATCTTCAATAACTGTTCAGAAATACCTTACCAGTTGCCAAATACGAGTATGAAACATACATAATATGGTAGCACAAGGCCCTTGATAGTAATGTTAACAATTGCACTATGATATGTTATAAAGTAACACATCATATCACAATTTCTTCATTTCACAAAAGTACTCCATTAGAGAGGACAAACCTAACCATTTACTAAGTCTGCATAACTAGATCTATGATGTCATCTTCCTGATCTTCCCCATCACCAACTTGTGACTACGTGGATTCTGTTTCGGCTTGAATTTTAGTCCACTAAATGACTGAGACCCCTCTGCTGCATGCAAAGGATATTCAGAAGCAGACTAAGAAATATTCTTAATAATGCAAAATAATATTGAAAAGCTTACCATTTTCACTTGTTATGGATCTCGATAAGGCATGGTCTAGTGACTTGCACATTTTAGATAGTGCTTTCATCCACTTTTCATAAAGGTCATCGTCGACAACAGAAAGCTTTGTCGCAAGCTTATTCAACAAGGCAGTTGTCTCTCTATATCTCAAAGTTTTGATGTTACTTGTGATGTTACCTGCTCCCTCATCATCGGCGACACTTGTTGAGGACTCGGCAACCTCTTTCTTCTTCGCATCTATGGTCCATCGCTTCAATAGTTTCTTCTCCTTCCGAAACCGTTTCTTCCCATTCATTAAGATGTGCCACGTGCATAACGCATGAAACACGTCAGGCCACATTGTCCGAAGTGCTTTGGACATGGCTTGGCTGGATCCTAATCGATGAAGATCGTGGTTGGAAGTTTTTGTTGCATGCAAATATGAAAAGCGTTGAACAACCACTCAAAGGATGCACTAGTCTCGTCGTACAACAAACACGCACCGAAGATGCAAGTTTGTCGGTGGTGGTTAAATCCAACAAACAATTCTACAAAACACATGTTCAAACGTAAGAAATAGAAAGTACGCAAACCATCCAGACTAATATTCATAAGTTACATACTAACATTCCTATGCTCCTTAGTAATATTCACAAGTTCCAGACCAACATTAAAGATTTTCAACGTATAATTCAAGATAGTATTCACATATTCCATATAATATTCATACAACAAAAGTGAATGCATACCCAATGGATGGTATGCTTTTGTTGTATCGAAAGAGACCGAGTCACCAAATAGTTTATAATCAACCCGCATCGTAGCATCTGCCCAGAGTATGTTGTCAACTTGCTCATCACAATCTACTTCCATGGAATAATAAAAGCTAGCATTCCCTTCAAGTTGCTCCTGAAAGTAGTTCAACAAATAAGTAGCTTCACCGTGTGCCATCTTCCTTTCCTTTCTCTTGCTTAGGTGGTTCTTTTGGTCATTCCTCGAGAAGGTAAGATTTTCGTACACACCCATACACAAGGTCAATAGCTTGCGAGAGGAGGTCAAACTAACCCAGCATCAGCGTTGGCTTCAACCATTAGACCTTGAGCCTCACTAATGCACTTGTTAGACCTCATAAAATTTGAGTGCTCTTTACAATGCAAGTTATGATTGTGTATTCCTACCAATGCAGTCACCACAAATGCATCCCTATTTACATCCCACCGAAAGTCAACACGAGCTTCGCACCCAAACCCCAGTTGTTGCCTCTTTCTTTTCGGCTTTGATTTAACAACTACATCGTCCTCCGACCGTTTGTTCACATCATTTGGATTTATAGTACTCTTGACCAAATACCCTTTCTTGGTGCATACATAGTAAAGGTACCAATACTTTTCCTCCAACTCACCTTTGTTGTTCTTGAACTTCTTAGTGTGTTCGTTATGTTTTCGCACACTAAAACCTCGACCATAGCTTGAATAGAACCCATAACCGTTTTGCACTGTCTTGAATTGCAAGTTCCTCCTTAAGTTTTCATCTTCTAGTGCTGCATAACTGCCATTGAATTTAGAGTAAACAAATTTAGAAACTCATGTCCTCACAAGCAACATTCACTCAATCAACAACAAATATTCTTAAACATGCGCAATAATATTCACACAAATGTCAAGCAATATTATTGGTCTAGTTAAGTAATACTCATTCTAGAGTATTCATGCACTCACACCCAAATGGTTCTGTTCATGTTCTGGAGTATTCAGAACATATTCATGCACGCATGAACAAGTATTCATGCACTTACAAAATATACTTGCCTGAACATACTTATGAAATACTTAAGTATTATTAAAAACAGGCGAACAAATATTCAACATACTAAGAACCCATAAATTGTGCAGAACAAACGCAATAAATGCAAAACCCTAAAATCCAACCATACAGAAGCATTCAATGCTTCACCACCTAAAACATATATAAAGAAAAAGCAACATCAAAATGATTCTTTTTTTTTTGTTCTTCAACGACAACCTTCCACTCTTGCGAGCCCCACAATCCGTCACATGTATTCTGAATATCCGCATTGAGAATGATATCAGCTATATCCTCGGCAACATCATCAAAAGTATCCTCGACATCATCGTCAGCATTCTCGCCAAGATCATCGGCAACATCGTTGTAAAGATTTTGGCCAACATCCTCTTTTTGGGTTCCAAGACCCACCTCCAGTGGAACATCCATGGTAGCTCCGATATCAAACCTAGGATCTGGAATTTCCTCTTCTTCTCTTCAATGACGGATGAAAAAAATAAAGAGGAGAGAAAGGCATGAGAGAGAGAAGCTGGTAGGTGAGCATATTAATGAGGGGGAAATTTCATTCTCTCTCTCCTCCCAAAATCCCACCAAAACACACTCCTAAACCCTTTCTCTCACAATCCGACCCCACCCAAACCTTCTTCACTCACCTGGCGGACCCCACAAACCCCTAAGCCAAGGGGCTGATGCCAAGAGCCGGCTCCATCTGCGGCTCCTCAACCCGAACCACGCCCATTTTGGCATATAGCCAATGAGAGCTCCCCAATCCCCCCATGCCAACGTGACCCAATAGGGATGGATTGTATAGGTGCACACGGATTAATCCATATGCACAATAGCAAATTATCATTGGTGACCCATGTATGCCTTAAGCATTTCCAAAAGATTCCTATGGCATCCATGATCTCATGACCTAAGCATTCCCGTTAAATATCATCTTAATGGTGGAAAAAAAAAAACTGACTAGGGTGTTACACTTATTACTGCAAATATGGAGAATGATCTAAAAGGTCATTTGGATGAGGAATTCTAATGGATTAATATGACACAATTGTCTCGTTTTGAGACAATTGGGTTAGATTGATCCGTTTGGCAGCATAAAATTTGTATGAAGCAATTTGGGCTACATTTTGAATTGACTCATTTTGAGCCAATTACAATTGTCTAGAGTGGGGGTAAGTAATCTTAATTGACTTGTTTTAAATGACTCATTTTGTAAAATGAAATAATTGGTCAAATTGTCTCGTTTTACAATTGATCCATCTAAACAACCTCACTTTTAGCCGATTAATAAAAGTTAGGACTCATCCTCTTTTCAGTAAAAGAAAAATCTGTAGTGACTAATTTGTTGCAATTTAAAGTTTAATGACTATTTTGTTACACTTGCCATACATACCCTCATCTATTCTGAATTGCTATTTGTCGCCCTAAAATTTAAATTTTATCGCCCTAAATCACACTAAATTGACACGTTTACCCTTAATCTCCATTTCTAACCTAGATCCTAAGCAAACCGCCTACACGGAGCCATGGAACTGTTTCCTCTTCGCCTTCAATTTCGACGAAGTTGATCAAAACGTGGCGGGCGGTTCTTGTAGAGTGAACGAACACGGAGGAGAGCAGAATTAGGCAAGATGACCGGTGATGGCGAATGGGAAGATTTGAGAGACGGAAGGCGGACAGGGAGAAAGTGGTGAGAGGGACGGAGAAGCAACTACTTGCTTTGCTGGTTTAGTGTAGAGAATTTGGGTTGGCGTGCCTTTGTCTTCTTTCTTTGCGGGAACGAAAATTGGCTCAGTTGTGCATGTCTTTCTTCTTTTGCAGATATAGGATTTGAGTTTTGTTTTTAATTTATAATGAAACAAGAATCAAGATTCCATCTCATCTCAACCCGATCTCCCCACCTCCAACAAGATTCCGACCACTGCTACTGCCACTCTGGCACCCATTGATGCTCTGTTTCCGGCGATCTGTTTCCAGCGGGTTGTGTGTATTTGTTTGAAGGTTTGTGTTTGCAAGAAAAAAATATACTAGGGACATTACTCATTAGGCTAAATTAATTAAGAATTAGGGCAAATAGTATTTTTAGGACGGCGAATAGCAATCCATTTTATTTTTAGGGCGGCAAATAGTGATTCAGTTTATAAAGTAGAGTAGCGACTAGCGAAGTTACGGGTCACCTGTACACACCCAACCCAAGTCAAGCAGCACAGAGCCATGCTCCGAGTGACGCTCTTCCGTCTCCCGCCAATCTCCCGCCATCTCGGCTTTTCAAAGCCACGCCATTTCTGCTTCCATGCCCATGATTATCAATCCCTTTCTCGGGAGCTCTTTTCCCTCTTGAACAACTGTGCGTCATTGAAGCCACTCCAACAGATCCACGCTCAAATGCTTCTAAACTCTGTTCATCACCCCAATTTCTTCCTCCCGAAAATCATTCTCCTCAAGGACTTCCACTATGCTCTCCTCTTCTTCACCCATCTTCCAAAACCCAACGACTACGCCTTCAACGTTATGATCCGCGGCCTTACCACTACCTGGCACAACTACTCTTTGGCGCTGCATTTCTATTACCAGATGAAGATTTCCGGCCTTCTCCCCGATAATTTCACCTACCCGTTCTTCTTCATCGCCTGTGCCAATCTTCTAGCTCTGGATTGTGGGCGATCCGCCCACTCTATGGTTTTCAAGACTGGTCTGGACGGGGATGACCATGTCGCTCACTCTTTGGTTACTATGTATGCAAAGTGTGGTCAATTGGGTTGGTCCCGGAAAGTGTTCGACGAAATTCCTGTGAGAGATTTAGTGTCGTGGAATTCCATGATCTCTGGGTATTCGCAGATGGGCTTTAGCAGGCAGGCGGTGAGGTTGTTTATGGATATGCAAGATCAGGGGATTGACCCAAATGAGATGACGTTGGTTAGCGTTCTTGGGGCTTGTGGGGACTCTGGGAATCTGGATTTGGGGAGGTCGGTGGAGGTTTTTGTTCGTGATAGGAAGATGAAGTTTAACTCCTATATTGGCTCTGCTTTAATTAGCATGTATGGAAAATGTGGGGATTTGATAGCTGCTCGGAGGGTCTTTGATGCAATGACGAAGAAAGATGTTGTTGCTTGGAATGCTATGATCACTTGCTATGCACAGAATGGAGAATCGGATGAGACAATCATACTGTTTGATGCAATGAGAGATGCAGGTATCAGTCCAAACAAAATCACAATGGTTGGGGTTCTTTCCGCATGTGCTTCTATAGGAGCACTTGACTTAGGAAAATGGATTGAGACTTACGCCTCAGAAAGAAACTTGCATCATGATATCTATGTTGCAAGTGCACTGATTGATATGTATGCAAAGTGTGGTAACTTGGACGATTCAATAAGGGTCTTTGAAAGCATGCCTTACAGAAATGAGGTGTCCTGGAATTCCATGATTTCTGCCCTTGCTTTCCATGGCCGGCCCCAAGAGGCCTTGTCTTTGTTTTGGCGCATGACAAGGGATAATGGTGCTCCCCGACCGGATGAGATCACATTTGTGGCAGTACTTTCTGCTTGTGTGCACGGTGGATTGGTCAACGAGGGGCATCAGTTTTTTGAGGTGATGAATCCATCGTTTGGGGTTGTCCCAACAATTGAGCACTTTTCTTGTATGGTTGATCTTTTGGCTCGTGCTGGTCATCTGCATGAAGCTTGGGAAATTATAGAGAAGATGCCTGGAAAGCCCGATGAAATTGTGCTTGGAGCATTGCTTGCTGCTTGTCAGAAGAAGAAAAACATAGATATCAGCGACCGGGTGATTAAACTTCTTCTAGAGGTGGAGCCATCAAATTCAGGAAACTATGTCATATCATCTAAGATATATGCCAATATGAGAAAGTGGGATGAGTCAGCAAAGGTGAGAGTCTTGATGAGAGAAAGGGGTGTTAGTAAGACTCCAGGTTGCAGCTGGATCGAGATCGAATCTAGCGTCCATGAATTTCATGCTGGTGATGGTTTACCTGCTCAATCAATATATATGTACCAACTGCTCAATGAGCAGATGAGGAAGGAAGGTTACATTCCAAAGCTTGATTCTTTTTAGGAATGATATCTTGCTGAAGTCATCTATGATTGTACAGGAGAGGATTATCCTTGAAGATCGCCGTTTTCCATAGTACATTCCTGTGATTAGGATGTGATCATTGGCATTAGCCGGCCCTTCTCAATTGAAATACATCTAAGACCTTTCTTCGCAGAGAAGTAAAGGAGTTGGAATGTAAAGCATTGTGATGCTTCTGCATTAGCTGTTGGTATGTCCCAAAATGATGCCCAGTATTCAATTTGCTGGAGCTTTCGTTTCGCCAGCAAGATTGGAAGGGGAAAAATCGAACTCCTGTCACTGCATCAATGCAGAAAGAGTGCTATTGCTGATAACGTCCCGCAGAAGGAGGTTTTGTACCTGAAATCCGTGTACTATTCTGTCTAACTGTTCATTTGCTTGGTAACTTCTTGTCTTCTTGGATTGTCATTTATTTTCCCCCGTATTGTCATGTTCTAACTATCAACAAGCCAGATACTTGCTAATATATAACCCCTGTGCTTCGTATTGCTTCTACATATAATCTAGCTGCTAATATTTACCATAACATTTGATCATTGGGCTCCAGAAATATAATAAACCATACAAAAATAGGAACATAAAGGAGTAGCGCCATCTACTGAGGGGAAAAGAAACTCTTTAAGACTCGAAATAGAGAAGGTTGCTTGGCAGAAGCAAAGTATGAATCCAAAGTCAGTTATGTTGCATTCTCGTTTCTTTTAGCCTTAGCACCCTCAGGTATCACATTTATGACAGTGACCATGCCTTTTTCGTGTGGAAGCACTTCAGCTACTTGCAAAGGCTCCAAGGAGTCAACTATATCTCGCATCAAAGGTCTTGCTTTGGGATTTTTATTCAAGCAATGATATGCTAGCATTGCTGCTTTGTGAACAGCTTTAACAGGATAATCTCCTTCTAATCTTGGATCAACAATGTTGAGCAATTTCTTCTTCTCTTTCAGAAGTGGGAGCCCCCAATCTGCCAGGTTTTGTTCTCTTGTCGGACGAGATTTGTCGAGAGATTTTCTTCCCGTCAGCAGTTCGAGAAGAACAACACCAAAGCTGTACACATCACTTCTAGGTGTCAGATGGCCTGCAGTTTTTCAAACAGCTGGATATCAATTGTAAGTTCACTCCATGTTGACCATATCTGATATTAGTTTTATCTAGTCAATGAATGTTTGACCTGATTATATACATTAGCCGAATCATAAAAAGAAACCCAGAAAATGGTGTGAGATAATTCACCAGTCATTATATATTCTGGTGCTGCATATCCATAAGTTCCCATGATGCGGGTGGAAACATGAGTTTTGTCTCCCATAGGGCCATCCTTTGCTAGGCCGAAGTCCGAGAGTTTGGCATTGTATTCCTATTACAGTCAAACCAGACAGGAGCTGATGTCAGCTGAATTTCAAGAACCACAGTAGAAACTCAGCCATTTTAGTAAGCAACTTATTTCACATGATATAATGCAACTTTCTGAACTGCAGCAGTGTGTTTTTTCGAGAGGTTGATCATGTTTGGTCACCTTGAGCTATAAAACGAACAACAACATTCACCGAAAAACTTATTTCACATGCTTATAATTTTGAGGTTCACTTAATGAACTAACCCCGTCTAGTAATATGTTAGAGGTCTTAAAGTCGCGGTAAATGACAGGTTTTTCAGCTTCATGCAGAAATGCAAGTCCTTTCGCTGCACCAAACGCAATCTTCATTCTGATCTTCCAAGAAAGTGGAAGTAATACTCCTGCAGAGATAGTAGAAATGAACATTTTATTACTATTAGCTCCTGCATTTCACTGTCTTGAGCACCAGTTTGGATCCTACAGCTATTATCATTCGAACATTTATACTTTTGAATTTGATTTGTCGCTCCAGCTATCTGCCTAAAAGGAATAAGAGCAACTGCCACTTACTCGAAAATAGATTGTTCTCCACACTACCCCGAGCCATATACTCATATATCAGGACCCGGTGCTCATCCTCGCAGCAGTAGCCAATCAACTTCACCAGATTCGGATGCGAAAGCTGCCCCAGGAAGATGACCTCTGCCTGAAATGTGCAACCGTGAATCCAATCAAAATTAAAGTTATCAATGTTGCTTGCTTCACAAGGTAACATTATAAAGCTTTAGCATACCAAGATCCCAATTTATTACCAGCCATTCTCTGTGACCCTGGTAGCTATTGTGACCATCATGAACCTTGACAGCAACTTCAACTGGCTGCATCCCATCTCTTAGATCCTCGGTTATAGACCCTTTATAGACATTCCCGAACCCTCCTCCTCCGAGCACCCTGTCTTGCCTGAAGTTGCTTGTCATTTTCTTCAGCTCCTCAAAGGTGAATGCTATCAGAGGATTGGCAGCTGAATCACGACGTAGGTCCTCCACTTCTTGTGGATTCGACGGCAGTTTCCTCATGTCCTTCCTTGGTTTCTCTGATGGGCATTGCTCTCTTGGAGAATCTGCTAATATATCAGGTCTGGGTGATGATTTCTTTTTCTGTACATTTTCGTTTCTCGCACATGAATTAACCCACCCATTGTTTCGCATACCGCCATTAATCTAGAGGAATCGATCATTGATGATGCATGCATGTAACGAAGGAGGATTACTGTCCATTTTCTGGGAATGACAAACTAGAATAGAAGCCTAATTATAGGAGCATATCGGTAATACCATTATTTATAATAATTTCCTAATTTGCATAGGTGATGTTCAGATCCTTTCATCGAAAGACTGAAGATATTTAATAGGCAATGAAGCTAATCCAATATGTATTAGTCCACCCACCATAGGGATAACTTTTCTACTGGGTCACCAGAACTTCCTTTTAGAGCTTTACTTCCAGATACTGATGAATCTATGGCCAAATCTTAAAGGTCAGAAGTCCGAAGAAAGAAAAAAGAAGAATTTGTGACAAAGTTAGAGAACATGAAGCTCAGGGTGGATTGGAAAAGATGTTAAATGCCTTTTTTTCTCCCCTTCTATAATAGAAGATAAAAGAATATTTATGTTTTCTTTTTCCTACTTAATATTAAAGCTTCATTGGGCATAGCCATAGTCTTTGTTTTTTAAGATGAACCATGGAAGTGAGGAGATCAAAACTCCGAGGACAAAAAGGGAGTATTATGTTGCATGGAGGTATATAAAACCGTAGTTAGCATCATGAGGATTAGCTGCTAGGTTTAAAAAACCCAGCAACAGCTTGATAGATAAGGCAAACAATCAAAATTTAACAGGACATGAAAGAATAGACGATGAATTAACCTGGTTTTGCATTTGATGAGACTCTGTACACTGAAGGCTCCCCTCTATACCAGCAGTTACCCATTTTAGCCAAAACAGCTCAAGCAGCACAAAAGAATAGTAGCCCACTGTTTTCACCAGAAGCTCCAACTAACCACCAGCCCCAAGTTTAAGCCTTTTGAGTTTTCAGTACTCCCCAGATTAGGCAGACAGAGAAAAGGAAAATGGGTAAAAAGAAGAAAGAGAAACAAGCAGTAGTTGCCTTTTATCCTGTTGGTGTGTGTGAAATGAGAATTGCAAGCATGCTAAATGGCGATTGAGTATGGAAGAGAAGGAGAGGCAAAGTGATGAAAGAGAAGAAATTCTTTCTTTCTTTCTTAGTGGACATGATGACTGAGTGCATAGGTGGGCGATGGCTCTTTTGGCTTGTGGAGGAAAGCAATGGGGCCCCATAACACCAAACTTGAAGACCATGGCATAGAATGTTTTCCTGTTTTGTCATCTTTTTGTATTTAGTTTTTTTGTGGCACGCTGAATGCTATGCTGATGGGTGCTCTTGAATCTTTTTTCTAGTTATTTGTTCATGAAGGAAAGGGAAAAGAAGATAGCCTTCTGCAATGAAAGTACTTACGGGAGGCCTTTGATTTGATGGCCACCTACTGGCAGTATGGAAGGCAAAGCGCCCTGAAGTCGATGCTGCCAATGTTATGTGAGGTTAGTATTATAATCATCAGATCGTTTGAGAATTATTATGATATTAATCTGGGCTCGATTGGTTAGTATTATATTAATTGATATTTATTAGCGTGGTCGTGGTGTGGTGTCCTTGGAAACCTGGCAGAGGTATTTCCTTACAGAAGAGAAAAGAATAAATGGAGAAATTATATTGTGAGGAGTTCGAGTAGTGAGCTTTTGTTTTGTTTTAGTGCGCATTTGCTGAAAACCCACCAATCAAACCTTCCCATCCCTTTGCCCAACTTTCTTTCGTCCATGCATCAGGATTATCTAGATTTATCCTTCTTTGCTTCCTGCTCGCACTAATGCGTGTGTATGTGTGTTTCCATTACAATTACATACATGGGATCTATTGTCTATTGCTAGCCAGGCTCGTGCTCCATCTCCCATCGCATGCTTGCAAAAATAAGTTATGTAGTTTCAACTTTTGTTTCCAAACATAGTATTAGTATATGTGTTGTGTTCAGTTCAGTTCAGTTCATAAACAAGTGATGAAATGTACAACTCTTCACCTCTGTCTCATGGCTGAAGAGGAAAGCATAAAAAGGGACGGCAAAAGAATAGTTAACCTCCTTCGTATGACAGTTACATAGTTTAGCAAGTGTTCCTAATCCTAGGTTTCAAGTTATTTTGCTCTTCTTATAAGGGCTTTAATTTGTTAAGTTAACTAAAGCTTCACATCTTGTAATATCATGCACCTAGGTTTATCATAATTAGAAATCTATATGAAAATTTCTTCAGGGCTTGAAGGTACTCATTGCACATTCCTCTAGTTAACTCATACCATATTACAAGGATGTTAACCTATCACCCATGAACTCTGACCTCAACCCTTCTCCTTGTTCCACACAACTGGTGAATTGTGCTATGAGACATCCTTAGCTGCATTTTTTATGTTGTTAATACCCATCATTTATGAAGTATTTTTTTATATATTTGATATATGATCTGAGGATTTTAATAGCACTGGTTAGTCCTTAATCTATTATAGAATTCTACTCAATCAAGACACTAAACACTAACAATTAACTTTTAGTACTTCATGTGAGTAATATATGATTTGGTAAAATATTCCTCTTATGAATTGTCCTTAGGGATCGTTTGGATGGAGTATTTGTATGAGTTATTTGGGTTCAAATAACTCGCATTGAGTTATTTGGGCACAAATAACTCGTTTGGTAACGTTTTACTGAAATGGGTTATTTACAAATAACTCAAAACGAGTTATTTGAAATAATTTATACTCATGCATTATTTTGAAATACCTCGTTTTATCACTCTGCTTTTACCAAATACCACATGTCGAATACCACGTTTGAATGGTTCACCAAACGAGATATTTTATTTCAATTATCATTGAAATAACACTGAAATATCACATGAATAATAAATGAGTCATTTGATTCTACAAATACCACATTGACAATTAACTCATCCGGATCCAATGACTTCGAAAGAATTGAACGAGGAGCCGTATGAGGTGAAAATCTCCCTTAGTTTTTTCAATCAAGATGATTGTCGCATAAAAGGTTCTTATCCTATTACATGAAACTCAAGACACTTTTAATCATCCAATTGGTCATGTATGCAAAGTGGTCATTCCTATCTTGTAGCATAAATGCTTGCTCGAGTTTATAGTTTTACAACCGTCTCTCATCTAAATCTCAATTCAATTATATTTCTACAACATCAATTATGACACGCGAACACAAATTGTCAAAGGAAAAATAAATTTTACTCTGTTGGTTCCTTCGTATTTGCACTACAGGAAAAATGCTTTTCATACACATGTTCGGTATGAAAATAATAATAAAAAATCATGTGTGGCGAACGCTCTAATTTTAATTATTTAAAACCTATATTTATTATTAAATAGCAATAGAAAGCACACAAACTTTAGTGCTTATGCAATTGTGAATTTGTGATATATAAATACAAGACGAAAATTAGTTCATACTCTTAAATGCATTTGTGAATGTGCTTTCCTTTCAGCAAATTCAAAATGCTAAAAAACTGTTAAAACTCTACCATTATATATTTGGAGAATTTATACTCTAACGTGTGAGCTATTCTTCTAATTATGGGCAACTTTTTATTATAGAATTCTATGTAAGTCACAAACTCTTAGATAAACTTGTAGAAAATAACAACTTTTTATACTCTAACGTGTATACCATTAAATAAGTGATGCTGGTACCAAATCTGAACTCAAACAATAAATAATAAACGGGAAACTACTCTAGAAAGCTCTTCTACTTGTTCATGTGTGCTATTTCTTAGGAAAGTTCCAATCCACTACCTTTTGCTACTTTATGTTACTATTAGGATTGTGATTAGAGGAGGCACAAACCTAGTGGAGAATGATGGGTTAATGCGACTTATCTTCCCTTGATTGTTCACTCCCTTTCAGTTCTGCTTCTGGTTCATATGTTTGTTGTGTTCCCACCTGAACACTTCTTTCCATTGACTTAAAGTTGAAGGGGTAGGATAAGAAGATGGAGTTAAATCTACTCACCCTTTAACAATTCAAAAGGTTATGGTAGGGATTAACATAGGCTCACTAGGAGATAGTTCAGTCCAGCTCCCAACCCAAGAGCCAAGGTGAAAGCTCACTAGGTCACAACTACTTTAGAAGGTCCCACTAAGCACCACTAGAGCCTCTAGGTTCATTCTTTAGTAGACTTGTCATAGATCTTGAGAGTTTACTGCCACATTAGTCAAAGTTAACGGAGTTGGACGGAGAGTGACCAAATGTGAACGGTTTTAGTCAACTGAAGTACCATTAATGGATTTAAATATTTCGAGTGACCAAACTTGAACGTTTTTTATAATCTCAGTAACCAACCATGCAATTAACCCTTTCTGCTATTAAGCTTATGAAAATTTTTGACAAACTATATACAAGATTTTTTTGTCTGCCTAAATTATATTTTCTCTTTCTAACTTAACCTCGAAATGATCCCCAGCTAGAGCCAGACAAGTCTCGACGTTAACCATTCTCCTGCACGAAGCTACATGTATGGCATTCCACCTACGTCAACTAGCAGACAACAGGTTAGTCTAAATTATGTGTCTAGATTTTGGTTGATTTGAGCTCTCCATTACTTAGAATAACTAAAATTATGCAGTTTATGGTTAGCATTGATGGCTATATTCTTTTGCCTCATAAGAAAAGTCTCTTCAGATGAAGGAAGAACAATAAGGGAAAGGAAAAACAAAGAAAAACAGCTGGAAAATTCTCTCAATCAAATAGGTATCTTGAAATTTATTTACTCATTGTTTTTTTAGAAACCTTGATCTAGGCGTGCACGATTAGGGTTCACTAATCCGAATAGAGACCAGTAATCACACGTGATATGGGATTTATGGATTTGGGATATGGAAATGGGGGAATGGGAAAAGTGATTTGATGAACATAGGAAGAAGTGGTCTCCTCCAAGATGGAGGCCGACGGCAGGAAAGGAGAGAAGAGAGGGAGTTGGCCGCGAGAGGAGAGAGAGATGGAAGATTAGGGTTAGGGAATTCTTGTTTTGTAGTTGCTTAACCCACTAATCCCACGATTACAGAATATATAATTCGATAATTCTTCTATAACTACCCGATATTTTCCTAATAACCGATAATACCAAATAATCCGAAAATACCCACAAATGACACATGAGGTCCTCAAAATAATAATAAACCGACAAATAAGTCCCAATCCCATGGTAGTTAGAAACCGGGTTTCTAACAGTTTTGAACAAGATACTTGACTTGTCTGGATCGATTTTAGTTTGATGATGTGATGCTTCATAAAGATTCATTAAAGGATTTCGGGACGAGATACGGTCACAACCCCCTTTGGGGTTGTGAGATTGACAACCAAGGGTATTTTAGGTATGACAAAATAATTTATTAATTAATAATTTTATTAATTACAGATTGGGAATTAAAAACCCATATTAATTACATGTTTTTTTTAAATTTTGAATCCCACAATAAATACAACTCTCTCTTCCTATCTCTCTCTTTCTATCTCTCTCTTCCTTTTCAAGCAGCCACTCCACTCCGACCAGCAGATTTTCTCCGGCAAGATCCTTGAATACGACTCGCTCCGGCCACCTGTAAAAAATTAAAACTCTGTCAGTACGTTAGTGGTACGCTACCACTACCACTGGTACCACTACCATCTGGTACCAGGTAGTGTTAGTGTGCCTTCTGATACTTGGTAGTGGTAGCGTACCACTATCATTGGTACCACTACCATCTAGTACCTGGTAGTGGTATCATACCACTACTAGGTACCAGATAGTAGTGGTACCAAATGATAGTGGTACGCGTACCACTACCAGCTGCTACTCCATATAGTACCACTACCAGTAAGAAACCAGTACCACTACCACTAGAAAATCAGTACCACTAGAAAAAACCCAGATCTGAAAATCCAAAAATCACAGATATGAAAAACGAAGAGGAGTAGGGGAGCGGAGGTACAAAGAGGCAGAGCGACTCACACCGAAAGAGGTAAGGAGAGGAGGCTAGTGGCAGGGGTAATCGATGACCTCGTGGCAGGGGCAGAGGGGGGTGACTTGCGGCAGGGGCGGAGATCGCCGCGAGACGGCAGCAGCAAGGGCGGAGGCAACAGTGTGACGAGCCAGGGGGCAGCCGACAAGGGCGGAGGTTCTGCCGGACTGCTGTGGATGCGAGGACGAGAATAGGTGTCGGTGGGAGGAGGGCAGTAGGAGGAAGGCGGCGGCGCCGGGAGGAAGGCGGCGGCGGCGCCGGGAGGAAGGCGACGGCGGTGGGAGGAGTTTACGAGATGGGAGGAAGAAGAAGGAAGAACAGGAGGGCAGTAGGGTTTTTAGAGAGAGGAGAAGAATATTGAATTTAATATGGGTTGTAATCCCATGTGGTCATATTTTTGTTCAAAAATACCCTTGTACCAATCTCATCCATCAATTTAAAAAAGCATGAAAGAGAATGAATTTAATGGTGGATAAAGTGGGTTGTGAAAATAACAACCCTAAAAAGGGTTGTCACCGTATCTCAACCCAAGGATTTCTCCTATTAGATATTAGGAAGAACTAATTCGTTACAACAATTTGAGCTCATGAGAAAGATAAAACTATCCCATGGATTTCTTGAATCAATATTAAACTGAATCATGATTATGATGAACATCTCATATTAAATTTTCTGCCCTTTATAAAATGTTGTTTGTTGTTAAAGACAGAAAATGAGTGCTGTGAATTGTGGCTTCGTCTAGTCATGATTATGATGAACATCTCATGATATGAATCTATTTGCTTGTTTACAAAGCAACCCACAGTTGGCAAAAGGTCCAAGGAGACAAGGGCTCAAAGGATTGAGCATAAGGAGCAGCTCCTTTTGGTCATCTGAGCATGGATCTCACTTTCATCTGTTTCACTGTCACTGCTAAACATAAAAAAAAAATGAACCAACTCATGATGTGAATCACTAACAAAAATGAATTAGTGCAGAAGAGAAGAACTAAAACATATTCGACGGAGAAAAAAGAAGTAAAACATAAGTAAGCCAACTTGTTGAATAGTATTCAATGTGTTCAATTAATCCATATACCTAAGTTGTTTGAAGAGGTCTACATATGGATATTTTGTTGTTCACTTTCATGTTCCCTCAAACATATAAATGATTATCATGATTCAAATACAAACTTTTCAACTACCAGAAAAAAAATCTCATCGACAATCCATCAATTTCTGTGAGATGCTCAAAAATGAAATTTGTATCTTTTTCTTAAAAAATCCATATAAGCAACAATCTTGAGAGGGGAAGCGAGATAAGAGAATGTAGATATACCTGGGTTCAAATTCTCTGATATCAAATAGTGGCTTCCCTACAAAATCCACCCACTGCACTTTCTTCTTCTTCTTCTTGTTCCTCTCGGCATCATCCCCTTTCGTAACTTCACCACTCCTCAGACAACTCTGAAGCCCTTCATCGTCATCATCCACAGCACTACTGCTGCTGCTGCTGCTACTACTACTACTACTACTTGTAATAACCTCTTTCCCTTCCTCCTCTGCTAATTGTTTGTGCTCTGTTGAGCAAAGCACTTGATTGCTGATACTCTTCTTCTTCTTGTTAAACTTCAATTGCTCACCTCTACAAATACTTTGGGATGGGTTGCAAAAGCTAAAGGAAGGACAATGAATCTTGCACACCAACAACCTCATCAAACCTCGTTATTCTGCTCCATCTTTCCCTTTCGTGCACCAACAAAAAAGAAATTGATGATCCTCAAGTCCTAGCCTAGCCACCACCTCAAATTTAGGAAGAACAGGAGGAGGAGCAAGAAACCATAGAACCGTTACTGAGAAAACCCAATGAAAATCTGTAGATGAAAGGAGGGAGGAATTCTGCAGGCGAAGACAACATACCGAAAAGGCAACCCAGTAATCCAACGTTGTACCTAAAAAACAATTATAGGACCCGACCTTCCTTCTGCTCCATCGGCGGCGTCGTGTGTCAACCAAGCAAGAAATCTTTCATACGATTAGAGAGAGAGAGAGAGAGAGTAGGAAAAGGGGAAACGTTTTTGGCAACGCCGGGAAAAGGTTACAGCGACAGCGAAAACAGAATTCAGGCACAATTGAATTGAATTGAAAACAGAGAGAGCAGAGTAGTAACAAAACAGAGACAACGTAAAACTAACTCTGACCAAACATTCCTATTTATTCGCAACTGTTCTGTTACTAAAGGGCCGCAAAAAGCGCGGGGATTCTCTTAACCGCCTTTACTCAAAACAACGGCATCAAAGCAACCGACTATTCTTATCTTCTTAACTTGGCTTGCCGGAATACTTTACTTCCCTCCGCTGAAACAGAACCCATCTCCGGCAGACTAGGCTTCCTGTGAATGAATCAATCACTAACACCAAGTGTGGAATATCAAACCCTAACTTGATTTCTCATTCATCATCTCATGTCTTTTATATAAGGATCAGAGCTAGAAGACAAGCTTCAGTGAGCTGTCGAAATGCAGTAAAGGAAAAGAGAAAACAGAGTTCCGAAGAACAAAGTATAGGGGAACGAAAGTGACACTCTGTCACTGAGTCACAACGGCAGCGTATTGAGCTTGTCCTTCACTTGTCTTGAGACGGCGTCGTTCGTCTTGGAGCACTTCTCGCCTTCCCTGAAATGATGTCGGACCAGCTAGCCGAGGGAATAGCCATTGCATTTGAAATCGAAATTTGGGGATTTTGGTCTGATACCCCCCTGCAAGCTGGTGGGCATAGATTATGCACACCAAGCTTGGAGAGGAGAGTGGAGAAGGTTGCTGGTGGGAGAGCCTTTGTGAAAAGGTCGGCTAGTTGATGGAGCGATGAAACGTGGAGCAGCTTGATTGTGGCACTCTGCAATTTCTCGCGGACAAGGTGGCAATCGATTTCGATATGCTTTGTCCGCTCATGTAATGTTGGGTTTTCTGCAATATGAATGGCTGATTGGTTGTCGCAGTAGAGTATTGCAGGTTGCGAGTGAGGAACCTGGAAGTCTTTGAGAAGATAAGGTAGTCACTGGAGTTCACAAGTTGTATCTGCCATGGCTCTGTACTCTGCCTCGCAAGAGGATCTTGAGATGGTCTTTTGCTTTTTGCTGCGCCAGGACACAAGGGAAGAACCCAGATAGATGCAATAGCCTGTCACAGATCGACGAGTGTCCATACAAGCTGTCCAGTCTGAGTCACTGAAAGACTTGAGGTGTAGATCAGAAGAAGATGAGAAGAAAAGACTAGTTGAAGGGGCTGACTTGAGGTATCTGAGGATCCTGCATACTGCTTGATAATGTTGATTGCTGGGGTTAGACATGGATTGGCTAACCTGCTGGGTAGCAAAACTGATATCAGGTCTGGTGGTGGTGAGGTATATGAGTTTGCCAACAATTCTTCTGTAGTATGAAGGGTCTGGATATGGATCTGAGTGATTGGCAGTCAGGTGGAGCTTGTAGTCCATAGGAGTGGAGACTGGTTTGGAAAGTAAGACTTCTCCTTCTTCAAGAATCTCGAGAGTGTACTTTCTTTGTGATAGGTGTATCCTTGTGGAATTCCTGACAACTTCAATGCCAAGGAAAAATTTGAGGGGGCCAAGGTCTTTGATGTTGAATGATGTGTGAAGAAACTGCTTGAGTTGAGATATTTCTTCCAAGTTAGTACCACCAACCACCAGGTCATCAACATAGACTAAGACACATGTGAAGTGAGAACCTTTGGATTTGAAGAAGAGAGAGTGATCAACTTGACTTGGAGTATAGCCATGAGTGGTAAGGCTGTCTGCAAGTTTGGAAAACCATTGCCTTGAAGCCTGCTTAAGACCATAGAGTGATTTCTTGAGTCTGCAGACTGGATTCTTGACGTGAGGTGGAGGTGTGTAGCCTTTAGGAAGTTTCATGTACACTTCTTCAGTAAGATCTCTATGTAGAAAGGCATTATTCACATCAAGTTGGTGAACATGCCATGATTTTGCAGCTGCTATGGCTAGAAAGAGTCTTACTGTGGTCATTTTGACTATTGGGGCAAAGGTGTCCTGATAATCAATGCCCTCCTGTTGATGGTAACCCTTTGCCACCAGTCTGGCTTTTTCCCTTTCAAGGCTGCCATCAGATAAGAACTTGTATTTGAAGATCCATTTGTTGCCAAGTGGTTTCCTGTTGGCAGGGAGGCTAACAACATCCCAGGTTTGGTTTTGTTCAAGGGCATCAATTTCATGATTGATGGCTTGATTCCATTCTGGTCTTTGAGCTGCTTCTTCATAACTCTCAGGCTCTTTGTAACAAGAAATATTGAGGATAAATTTGAGATAAGGAGTAGACAAAGCACTGTAATCAAGTACATCAGAAAGAGGGTAGGTGATACCCGGAACATGTTGCTGAAGAGAATGACTGGAGGAAGAAACCTGCTGAAGTAGGTTGCAATGGTAGTTTTGGAGTTCGGATGGTTGTTTGATGGTTCTGGTTGGTTTTCTGATGGCAATGGGAAGGTCTGAAGAAGATGGGGGAATTGAGATGGTTGGGGGATCTATTGTGGTTTCAGGTGTGGGAAAGGTGTCTGGTGTGGGAGAGGGTGGGGAGGGTGGTGGTGGAGGTTGAGTAGGAGGAGGTATGGAGTCAGTTGGATCAGTAGGGTAGGGTAGGGGGTATGTGTAGGTGGGAGGAGAGGGTGTTGATGTTGAGGGGGGTTGGTTAATTGATGGAATGAGAATTCAGTTTCATAAAAATGAACATCCCTAGAAGTAAAGATGTCAGTGGTCTGGAGGTCATATATTTTATACCCTTTGATTCCTGGACTGTACCCCAGAAAAACACCTTTCCTAGCTCTCTCTTGAAATTTGGTTCTATGGCTGGTGATAGTGGAAGCAAAACAAAGGCAGCCAAATACTTTTAAGTCTTGTAAGTCAGGAGGTTTGTGATGGAGTTTCTCAAAGAGTGTCAGATTGTAAAGGACTGGGGTAGGGATCCTATTGATGAGGAACACAGCATGTTTAACACAATCTCCCCAGAAACCAATGGGAAGATTAGCTTGAAACTTTAATGCTCTTGCTACAGCTAGAATGTGTTGATGTTTGCGTTCTACTTTGCTGTTTTGCTGTGGGGTTTCAATGCATGACATTTCATGTAAGATTCCAGTTTGATCAAAAAAATCTGTCATCTGAAATTCTTTGCCCTATTCACTTCTAATTGTTTGAACAGAGCTAGAAAACTGTGTAGTGACCATGGTGCAAAAGTTTTGTAATTTAGGTATGGCTTCAGCTTTGGAATGAAGAATAAGCCAAGTCATTCTGGAATAGTCATCAACAATGGTAAGGAAGTACTTGAAGCCATCATAAGTGGGAGAAGAGTTTGGTTCCCATATGTTTACATGGATCAGTTGAAAACAGTGACTAGTTACAGTTGTGCTAGAAGGAAAAGGAAGCCGCTTTTGCTTAGCAAAATGGCAAACATCACAAGGTAAAGTGATGTTGGTTTCAATGGATTCACAGAGTTGTTTCAACTGTGGTATTCTACTGTGGGAAACATGGCCAAGTCTAAAGTGCCAAATGTCAAAAGATGGAGAACTAACAGCTGCTGTGATTGGTTTAGGTATACTATCTAAAAGAAGGCTGATGTGGTAAAGGCCATGGAGGAGTTTAGCAGAACCAGTCACTCTCTTCAGCTTCAAGTCCTATATTGTGCAAGAATCAGAAGAGAAAGTTAGGCTGAGTTGGCTGGAAGAGGTGAGTTTGCTCACTGAGAGTAGATTGAAGGTGAATTTAGGAACATAGAGAACATCCTGGAGGATTAGTCCATCAAGGCAAAAGATCTGGCCTTTATATGTAGCTTGAACTCTATCACCAGTAGGGAGATTGATAAAGATATGATGTACTTGTTGTGAATTTGAAAGAATTGAATGGAATTGACAATGTGATCAGTTGCACCAGTGTCAAGAATCCATGGAATGATTGTACCAGAATGATGGATGATGTTGCAAGTAGGATTACCTGAAGGAGTTTATGTGTAGTGAGTGGTGAGAGCTGCTGAGTGAGAAGACTTGCCCTTGATGGTCTCAGTCATGAGAGACATGAGTTTGTCATAGTCTGTCTTTGTAAGTTTGAACTCCTGAGCAGGTTCATGGGAAGAGTTGCTATCAGCAGCATTGATGGAGGACCTTGGTCTTGAAGTACCTGGAGGTTTGGACTGGGAAGGGGGTGGATAGCCATGTTTCTTAAAACATTTCTCCTCAGTATGCCCTATGCGTTTGCAAAAGGTGCATCCAGGAGGTTTAGAAGAAGGATTGGAGGGAGCAGTGGATCCCCTTGGAGTGTAGCCTAGGGGCCAACCATGCTTATGGTAGCATGTTTCTTCTGTATGACCAGGTGTGTTACAGAAGGTGCACTGAGGGCGTTTGCCAGAGGGGAATGGGCGTTTGTAGCCCTGAGCAGCAAAGGCTGATGAATCAGCAGTAACCATTTGGCCTTGTTGAGTACCAAACAGTTGTCTCTCGTGTTGGAGAGCACGTTGGAAGACCCTATCGATTAATGGTAAGGTATCTCCAAAGAGGACTTGGGATCTCACAGTGGCAAAATTATCATTCAGGCCACGAAGGAATTGTATAACAGAATTTATAGCTTTGTAACCAAAAACAACATTCATGGAAACACAGGTGGTGTGGCTGGTGTTGGTGCAGCGACAGGGATCTATAGGTTGGTAATTGTCTAGTTCATCTTGCAAGGCAATGAGATTCCCATAGTATTTAGTCACATATTGGTTACCTTGCTTGATTGTTGCAATAGCTCCAATGAGTTCTGCAACTCTAATCATGTCTCCTTGGCCATAGCGTGATTTGAGGCTTTGCCAGGCTTCAGAAGCGAGTTTGCAGGACATGATGGTTTTCTTGATGAGGGGATCGACTGCTTGTTGAATCCAGCTGAGGACCATGACGTTGTTTCTTGTCCATGAAGAAAAAGTAGCATCTGTTGAGACAGGGGCGACGATTGTGCCATTGATGAAGCCAAGCTTGTTCTTGGCGGCTAATGCGTTGAGCATAGCCTTGCTCCAGTCGTTGTAGTTGGTGGTGGTCAGCTTCTCACCTACCAGCAGCAACCCTGGCTGATCTGACCCATGTAGAAAGAAAGGATCCGACATTGGATCCATCAGTGTTCAAGAATACGCGATTAATCTCTCGCCTAGGCGCAATTAATAGCTGGGCAGGACGAAATCTCCCCGTCTAGCCCTGGGCGATTGATCTAGGCACCTAGGCACTCGGAGGCGCGTTTTCACTCTGGTGGGTGACGCCCATAACAACTAATAAAGGGGAAAGTGTAGCCTTTTTTTTAAAATCCCAAATCCTATTCTATTTCCCATTTCCATTCGACCAGCTGCTCCCCCTCATCGACCAGCAGTGAGATCCCTCCTCATTGTTGGCGACTTGGGATGTTTGGGATTGTGGAAAAGTGTTGTATGTGAATATGAATGGATGAATAATGATATGTCAACTTGAGTTTTTGTAGAATATGGCTTATCTATCGTATGTAGAATATGTCAACTTGAGTTTTTGCAACGTTTAATCTCGCCTAGGCAACGATTAATCGGCCTGGGTGCTGGGCGGTGTCTCCTCGCCTAGATAGCGCCTAGCGTCTTCTTGAACATTGGGATCCATGTTTGGAGGTGCTTCTTGAGTGGCCATTTGGGAGGCGGTGGCTAGGGTTGCTCTGATACCATAACACCAAGTGTGGAATATCAAACCCTAACTTGATTTCTCATTCATCATCTCATGTCTTTTATACAAGGATCAGAGCTAGAAGACAAGCTTCAGTGAGCTGTCGAAATGCATTAAAGGAAAAGAGAAAACAGAGTTCTGAAGAACAAAGTACAGGGGAACGAAAGTGACACTCTGTCACTGAGTCACAACGGCAGTGTATTGAGCTTGCCCTTCACTTGTCTTGAGACGGCGTTGTTCGTCTTGGAGCACTTCTCGCCTTCCCTGAAACGATGTCGGACCAACTAGCCGAGGGAATAGCCGTTGCATTTGAAATCGAAATTTGGGGATTTTGGTCTGATAATCACAACCTTGTTTTAAGCCAAACAAGGCCTGACCATGTTGAGTTCAACAAGTACCGATACTCTGCGCCATCATCAGGCTTATTCTATTTGATATGGTTGCAATTGCATGTCGCTGCTTCCTTCTCCTAAAGCAGGGAGGGACTACTGCAGGTTTCTCCAATTGAGGCATTTTGTGAATAAATGCTTCTACTATATTCAGGTCACTGACTTTAGTAAACATGTCGATATCTAGTGCACACTGACAGACAAAAATCATAAGATGAGCTGCTTCACATGCTGCTTAGAGATTGTGTTTCCTTGCGCTGCTTTTTTAGTTAGTTAAGCAAACGCTGCCAACCGGAGAAAATGCAATGGATTGAGCAACTTTCGTATGTGCAATCTTTCTGTGAAGGATACTGTGATGTTATCAGAGCTCATGCAGTTATCAGGGAATGGCTCATGTTGTTATCAAGGGATAATACCATTATTGTTCTTGTACCAATATCTCGGGGCACCCCTGCAGATGCCCAAGTTATCCAATGATTTGTCCATGATTATTTTTTATTTACAAAGGAAGTAACAAGATCTACTGTTAGTAGCAGTGGATCTAAAATAGACTATCAGCGAATTGCCAACTTCCAAGCAGATGGCTGATTTTGTCATCTTTCTTCCACAACTTGCAGGGATGGAGCCAGGTTGCAGATTTTCATTTAGCCTCTTGCTGTGTATCCAGTTTCGTTTTTGACTGGTAAGCATTTCAAGAGGCGACTATGGAGGCTTAGACTATAGGAAGCTTGGTTTTCTGACACTGAGAGATGACTCTGGGAAGATTCAGGTGTGTTTCCCACCATCTTCACATTCTTTTCGTCAAATAATTTGTTTGCCAGCGCACCGTTTGACACTGCAAGACGGGGTAAAGAAACTTCATCGCCCATTTATCACGACCATTAATTTAATCTGGTATCTTTTGGTATTCAAGAAGAAGATATCATAGTGACCATATAAGAAGAGGTAAAAGACTATAACCTGAGAGTAGGACTTGCTTGTTTATTAGTTATCCCTCTATAGATCATGCGTTTAAGCCATAGATTTGCACAGCCATGTCTAGTAATTATCACTCTATCAGCTCTCTGCAATTATTGATTCCTAGCTACTTTGTTTGTTTCTTGAAACTAGATCACTAAGCACATACGGAAAAGAACATGGCCGTCCAGAAAACAGCTTTCATCAAGTTCTAAGCAGATGAACAACTTAGTAACAGCACAAAAGAAGCAATTATTCAATTATGCACACCTAAATATAGGAAATAAGGAATCACAGCAACAAGACGTTGCTGGCAACTCTTCCTGAATCTTAGCCACTCTGGATTTGTTGAATCTTTGCCACTCTGAACTTCATACATACAGCTTCTACCTTCTTTAAGATTTGTAAAAAGTTATGGGAAAGCATGAAGCAAAATCTACTATCCGTTCCTAGTTACACTTGTGCTATCACACTATAGTTTTTCATCCTAGCAAAAATGCCACAACTAAAGTGTCAATATAACTTGGGTTCTTAATGATGATCTTACCTCAAGTCCAGGAATATTCGGATGGGCAGTTCCGCAAGAAGACCCATTCACCTTCCACTACCACAATGACCCTGTGCTGCTTTTTTCAGTACTTCAACTGTTTCAGTTTTTCAAGAACATGCTTCATAGATGGACGCACAGAAAGAGACTCCACAGTGCATGCTGAAGCAAGCTTCAGCATCCCCTGTAAGTTTTCCTTGGGCCCCGTTTCCCACAGCTCCGCAGAGAAGAGCTCAGAAGACCGTCCCTCCTTGATCAACAACTTGGCCCACGCCACAATGTTGAAGCCATTACCATACTCAGAGAACGATGGATCAAGCGATTTTTTCCCTGACATCAGTTCCAACATAACCACACCAAAGCTGTAAACGTCTGACTTATCGGAAACCCTGCACGTGGTTGCATATTCTGGCGCAACATAACCGAATGTGCCAGCAACATCTGTCGTAGCATGAGTCTGTGACACTTCCAACAGCCTGGCCAAACCAAAGTCAGAGAGGTAAGCATTAAGCTCCTCATCCAGTAATATGTTACTAGGTTTGATGTCTCGATGGAGAATCCGCGGCACACACGAGTAGTGAAGGTATGTCAGAGCTTGTGTTATGTCGAGTGCTATCTTGTAAATCACCGACCACTGTCCATTTTCACCAGATCTGTCATGTATAAAGGTATCCAGATTCCCACCGGAGAGATAATTGTAAATCAGCAGCATTTCAGATTCCCCCACATAGTATCCAATCAAAGTCACCAAATTTTTATGCCTGATTCTGCCCAACGTTCTAATCTCCGCATCAAACTGTTTACTCCCCTGAATCCTCCCAATTGATAGTCTCTTCACCGCAACAAAGTAACCAGAAACTATTTCTGCTTTGTAAGTTGCCCCAAAGCCGCCTGTGCCGATCAGATTCCTGACACTGAAGTTCCCTGTTGCTCTCAATACATTATCATACGTCAACTCAGGTGGAGCATCTGCAAATGTCACAACCACTTTGCCTCTCAAGCCAGAAAGCTGGCTTGAACTGCGCTTCCGATACATCCTCCATATAGCCACAACCAATGAGACAGCCAGTATGATAGAAACAGAGGTTACCAACGCAATAATAAATGCCCGATTATTGTTTTGATGCTGCAATACTTGGCTTTCATCTACTGATGACTGAGGTGAGCTTGCCAGTGGCTCTGAACACTTAGCCAAATATGCATTGCCAGTGAACTGGCTGCAATCAATCTGGTAGAGGAGAGGCGGTATGGGGCCAGAGAGATTATTAAAAGAAACGTCTAGATCCTTCAGACTTGAAAGGCTGGAAAAGGATGAGGGTATCTCTCCAGAAATACCATTGTTGTTAAGCAACACAGTTTCCAAGTGTTTCGCATTTGCTAAACTTTGAGGGATTGATCCTGTGATGAGATTATGAGAAAGATCCAAAGTCACTAGAGAAGACATTTGTCCCCATTGAGATGGAATGCCTCCAGTGAAATTGTTGCTTCCAAGAAGCATGAACTGGAGGAGCTTCAAATCACCGAATTGATCAGGGAGCGAACCGGAGAGGCTGTTTCCCCTCAGGTCGATAGACTGAAGCTTGACCATATTGCCAATGGCAGGAGTCAGCGAACCAAGCATCTGATTATGAGCTGCTTCAAACTCCCTAACCTTGGAGCAATTCAGAACCTTGACTTCTTGGATATCGCAGGAGAGAACATTGGCACTCAGGTTAACAGACAAACTGAACAGATCATCACAGCTTGATACTAGCTCGTCAGCAGGAAAAGACCCATTGAACATGTTGTTGTTGAGAAGCAACCTGTATGCAATTTTCTTGTTAGCTGCCAAGAAGCCATCACCAATTGAGAAGGCAGGCAAGGAGCCAGCCAGCTGGTTCCAACTGAGGTCATGGACTATCAGGAAACCCTCATCCCCACCCAAAAGAGCATTCATTTGAGACCCCCAGACAGGAATGTTGGAGTATGCAATCTGTACATCCTCCAAACCCAAGTTGCTGCCGTAGGAAATCATGTTAGCATCATCACATTTGCCCTTGGGGAAGGTTGGGAGAATCCCAGATAAATGGTTTTGACTGACATTGAAATACACCATGCATGAGACTGGCAGCTGCGTGGGGAGATTACCAGTCAAGTTATTGAAACTGAGATCCAGCAGAGTGAGGTTCTTACAAGCTCCAAGGCCCTGTGGGAGTATGCCTGTAAAGGCATTCTGTCCTAATTGGAGGACTCTAAGGGCACAGGAGGAGGAGGAATCTTCAGTCCAATTGGAAGGCAGCGTTCCATCCAAATTGGCTCTGGGTGCCCACAGAATCTGCAAACTGGGGAGCGCCAACACTTGATGAGGGATTCCCCTCTCGAAAGCATTGAACTCTAACCTCGAATCATCGCCGATAGTGTCTCCAGCGACAACAAAGTTGGAGGCGTTGGTGAGCACGAGGACGGCCAGATTCGTGCAGTTGCCGAGCTCCTTGGGGATGGAGTCAGTGAGGCTGTTGGTTGAAAGGTCAAGGACTCGGAGCTCCGAGATCTGACCAAGCTCTGGCGGGATGGAGCCTTGGAGGATGTTGCCGTCGAGCAACAGCGTCCTCAAGTTGCTGCACTGGCCGATCTCAGGGGGGATCATCTTCTCCAGGTAATTGTTGGAGAGCTTCAAGTGGATAAGGCGGGAGCAATCAAGTGGGCGAGCGATGGGGATTTCTCCTTTGAGCTGGTTGTTGGAGAGGTCAATGGCGGCGAAAGAGCCGGCGCCAATCAAGCGGGAGGGGATCTGACCGGAGAAGGAGTTGAATGAGAGGTTGAGAAGGGCGAGGGAGGGGAGGGAGGAAATCTGGTTGGGGATTTGGCCGGAGAAGTTGTTGGCATGGAGGTCGAGGAGGCGGAGGGAGCGGAGGTTGGAGATGGAGGAAGGGATGGGGCCGGAGAAGCGGTGGCGGGAGAGGACGAGGGTGCGGAGGGCGGTTAGGGCGCCGATCGAATCCGGGAGAAGGCCGACGAGTGGGGAATAGGAGGAGGGAGGGGTGAAGTTCAAGGAAACGACGCGGCGGGAGAGTGGGTCGCAGAGGACGGCGAACCAGGAGCAGTGATCGGAGGAGCCGGTGCGCCAGGAGGAGAGGAGGTTGGACTGGTCGGCGGAGATGGATTGCTTGAGGGAAAGAAGGGATTGGGAATCGTTGGGCTGCGAGACGGCGGAGGGGAAGAAGGAAGCTGCCATAGCCACAAACAGAAAGCAGCAGAGAGCCGGCATATTGTGTGCTTGGGAGGGAGGGGTATTGGGTATTATTGATTGATTGATTGATTACCGATCGAGAAAGGGGAAAAGGACGGCCGGCGGGGAAGAGTTGAGAAGCATAGGGAATCGGGAGTTGGAGTTGGAGTTGGAGTTGGCGTGGGGGGAGACTAGACTAGACTAGAGAGCAGCGGAAGAAGAAGTTGGCTGACCGGCGAGAATTCAGTTCCGGCGGCCACAAACGCTGACTTGCTGACTGCTATAGCTCTCTCTCTCTCTTCTGCCTTGCGAGGAAGGAAAGTGAAAATGGAGGAGCGGAGTAGAAGAAGACAAAGGAGGAGAGAGAGAGAGAGAGAGAGAGAGAGAGGCCGGCAGGGCAGGGCAGGGCAGGGCAGGGGAAGGGGACGGCTAGTTTGGCGCTACTTGCTTGAGTTGAGTGTTGTTGTCGTTGTTGTTGGTTGGTTGGCAAATGGCCAATTCTCGGCCCGGTGGTTGGTTTCTCTTTCCCTCTTTTTCATTAACTACTAATAATGTATTTGCTTGTTGCTCATTCTTTCTTTGACATCGATCCATCTTTCTTTCTTGTTGCTGCCATTGGGAAAATCAGTATTAATATTATAATATATATATATTCATGTCTGTGTTTGAATGAAGATTTGACCTTCTTTGAGCGAGCGAGCGAGCGAGCTACTGCAATGCAACAAGACCAAGTAGTGAGTGAGTGAGTGAGTGCTGCTAATGCTATCGCCAGGCCCAGCCACCACCAAACCAATGCCTCTGTTTCCTTCTCCTTCCCGTCTGACCTGTTATTGGAGTTGGTTCAATTCAGGCTGGAAAGGAAAGGTGACTCATTCAAATCGATCTACAAGAGGCTCTGCTCTGTATAAAAAGTAGATCAGATCAGATCAGATCAGATCAGATTATAGGGTTGATTTGTTCGAATCTAGTCTGGACTCTTTACGCTGGGAGTGAGGATTAGTTTCTGGGTTAAGGCTTTAGATTTGCAGTACTTCATTTGTACAGTGGCACTACTTCAGTTCAAATTAGTCGGAGGAGCTTCACTGCTTATGCTTAACGGAGGGGAGGGGGAAAACCTCATCGCCGACGACTGCGAAACTAATCGCGGAATAGTGAGTGTAGCAGGTGAGTAGGGAGGGGAGTCAAGCTCCAAATCATAAACGCTTCAGGTGAAAGGGAGGGAAGGGAACCAACGGCGATCCTCGCTCCACATACAAAGCTTTCTTTCTGGGTGGGTTCTGCCGTCAAAATATCGCCGGGGCGACTTTTCTAGTCAATGTTACCGTAAAATCTCGTCCAATATCATTGTATATCTCGCCGATTTCATTTTATCTTCAGTTTGTCGCGTTTCTAATTTGTTTTGAGGATCAGAAACTTTTCCCGTTTCGACTAACCGTTCCACGTTTCTGAATTCTTCTCTTGGGTTTCGCGGCTCCTCTGGAGCAGGTGCTTCTAGCCCAATATTTGGATGGGCCCAACACCTAGTCACGCCAGTTAACTTTTTGATCACGCTGGCCCACATGATCAAGCCCATCCTGAGCTATTTGCTTTCATCCCGAATTAGGGCCAATTATGACGCGCCCAACTCTGGCCACCCCTGGCCCTAAAGCTGCGAAGCTGTAGAAACGGATAGAAGACAGGGAAATATACTGGAGAAACGGCGAAACGCGAAACGTTTCGTGTCCTCAAAACCAAAATCGAAACGCGAGAAATTGACGAGAAATTGAAATTGGCGATATATCACGATATAATAATATATCGCGATATTTACGAGTTTTTGTCGATATATTGAATTTCCGCTATTTGTTGGCATGGAGGTCAAATAAATTCACGGGAAAAATCTAAAAACAAGTGGAAAAATCACAGGAACATGCAGATAATTATACAGAGAATTATGACCTTCGCCAATCGGCATAATCTTTCATCCTGAACTGAAAAATAATATAGATCGGAGATCAATTCCCCGGCGAAGTGCCTCTCTCTCTCTCTCTCTCTGCGTCTCTCTGGTTAACATCCATAAATCCAGCAGTAGGCGGTTGCTTTGAGAGATTTTTCCTTCTGGGTTCTCAATCATTCTGCCAGCTGCTGCTGCCGTTTTTGTGTTTGCTGCTATGTGTTTTTTTCCTTCTTTAATTTCCAGCAGCCTTCCCCTGTTCAGGCGATGTCTGTGTTGTATCCTCTGTTTTCTATTACTTTTGTGGTTACCCTTTTGGTTTTTCACACCCAAGTGTCTCGTCCTTGTTAAAACAAACCCTCAAACTAATTGCACTCTTTAGTAGAACAAAAGCAAACAAACGATTAGCGACAAGCAAAACAAGATCCTTCCTTTCCTGCCCTTTCTTTAGTAATCTTGAAGCCCAAAAAAGATATCGCTTCTCTATGAAATCTTCCAAGATTGCATTGTGAAATTCTCCACTTCCTCCCTTCGTAGCAATGAGAAGAGATTTTAGGTTTATCTCAATAATCTTTTGATGTGTGCATGAGATCATAAGACTAAAGAAGAGCGATCATTCTTTTATCTACAATTTGATGCTGTAATGATTCTGGATCTGTCCTGGCGATTGAGATTGACTTAGAGAAGAAGAAAGTGAGATTGAGGGAAGAAGAGAGGAAGATTGGAAGCAGAATGATATGGAGGAGGAAGAAAGAACAGGGGAGAGGAAGAAGAAGTAGAACAAGGAAGAATGGTTTCTGTAATTGATATTCGATGCCCCAGTTTACAGTTTACTTCCTCTATTTATATGACTACCCAATTACAAAGTGATCCTCCAATTAATTCCTATTACAACTAAACTCCCATTCATTACAGATGCTTCAGGGACAAGGCATGATCTTTTGGCCCTTGGTTTCAGGTATTTACTGATGAAGGGTCTTTTGGCAGTCCAACTTCCTTTCCTTACGAGCTGAGCTGCATGCATAATCGGACCTTGAAGAGTTTGAACATCCACATGAACAAGCTATCTGTCTCCAGGCCCAGCCACCACCAAACCATTCACAATCAGGCTTGATAAGAGTCTGAAATATGAATGAATTATCATCATTTGAGTTTTGGTATTCGATGCCTTTGTTTCCTTCTCCTTCCTGTCTGACCCGTCATTAGACTTAGAGTTAGTTCAATTCAAGCTGGAAGGAAAGGTGACCCCTTCATGATTACACCAAACACCACACGCTTTCTAGTTCTACCATTCCTCGTTTATGGTTTGTAAAAATACTTCCAGGTTGTCCCCCTGTAGTAAAACAGATGTTGACCTGCCTTCTAAAGATAATAAGTCATGACAAATGCTTGCTACTGCACACATCTTCGCTTTTTGTATTCGTTTTGGTATTTCTTTCCTGTACAAACAAGACTTGCCACTATTCTTCTTCTTGGTTGCTTTATTCATTCACCTGGAGAGGAAGTTAGTCACTAGACCTTCCGTTAGTCTGCGTTCTGTAACAAGAAATCACTCTCCTTTATTTTCAGTGGTGCTAAAACAAAAGACTATCAATCAGTAAAGTGGCAAACTTCAGAATTGCGGAGGTAAAACTCTCAGTATATAATAAAGGAACAATGCTCTCAAAAATTCACAAAAATTCCAACCAGCATCATTTTATGGGGAAATGATATGATAGGTCTCCAAAATGATTGCTTGGCTGAGCTTCATTCAGTTTTCCAGCTTCACTCCACTTCATTGCCGCTGTCTTCCAGGGAACCCCTACTGCTGGATCTTGAGCACGGGGAAGGCAATAACATCCCGGATACTCGGTGAGTTCGTCAAAAGCATTACCAGCCTATCAATTCCAAGTCCCTATTAACCAATGAATTCTTGTTATCATTCTTTGTTTGATAGAAAGAAAAGAAAAAAAAAATCATAGAAAATTGTGATACAAAGCAAAGGGGAAATAATCTACCAATCCAGAAGCAGGAGGCATTCCATATTCCAATGCTGCTAGGAAGTCATCATCCAATGCAACTTCATATGAATCATCCTCGTCTTTCTTTCTACCTCCTTCTGTAGAACTAGAACACACTTCCGAACCAGATGCCATCCTTTTCTCATTGTGCTGCCTCACTTGCTCTTCCAATCTTACCCTCTGTTGCAGTACAACAAAAAGATCATTAGGTAGGATGAAAAGATAGCCCTCATCCATTTCTACCCTACTATAAGGGTTTCACGAAGATACTGCAAGTTCATGATACAAGAACGAGGCTGAAAAATGGAAAAGGCAAAAACCTCAAACTCAAAAGTCATTCATTAATGGATGGTCAAGCGAAATAGGTACAAAAATTTTGCTTAACGCTTACCTGATCCATTGGATCAGTCAATTCAGAGAATGCGTTGGCCAATTCACGACCACAGATGAAGAGTTCAAACCTCTCAGTCAAGCCTACATGCCTGTTGAATAACATTCAGAAAGGTTACTAATTATATAAATAAAGATGTCAATAAAAAGAAGATATCTACGTTGGTTGTTTCTCAACAGGTTCATAAGTATGTTCAGTTTCCAATCCAACTTCAATATGACCCACGACTTATTGTGCGCAAGGAACATGTGAAATAACACCACAAAAAAGAGTAAATTTTATACCTTCTGTGTGGCTTTGCGAGGGGAGATATCTCAATGGGATAGTCCAAAACGAATGTGGGTTGCTGGAGCTTTGGCTCTACGAAAATTTCAAAAACCTAGACATTTGAACAAGTTACAATCACAAAAAGGAAAATTAAAGATGCCACAGCAATTTACAAATATAAAGCAAAACAAGCTGAAACTCTACTAAATGATCCTTTATACCTCATTAAGAAGGTGACCTACAGAAGCACATGCCTCAATAGCAGACCTGTCTTTGCTTTCAAGCTCAGGTTCGAGAGACTTCAAAGATACCTCCTTAGCAACTCTAAGATCACTGCCCAAATCATTGAAATCTATACCAGTTACTTCTTTTACAAGATTATGCATGCTTTCCCTCCTCCAAGGCCGCTCTAGGCATATATCTGCCCCCTGCATTGAAGAATATTCAAGGTTTACAAACATTCCCGAGGGTACCACATTTTGACAACGAATTTAAATGTGACATGGCATATCTTAATAAATAGTAACGTTACCTGGTAGTCAATTGTAAGCTTCCCGTGAACAGCAAGAGCACAATTTGTAACAATCTCTTCTGTCATATTCATCATGCTCTCATAATCTGAATAAGCTTCATACATCTACGATGACACTAGTATAAGTATTGATAAGGACTCAGGAACTCAGACAAAAAGGTTAGATTATCTGATGATAAAATCTTTAATCCAGAGCATTAGCTTACCTCAATAGTTGTAAACTCAGGATTATGACGGGGTGAAATTCCTTCATTTCTAAATATTCTTCCTATCTCGTATACCTTCTCGAAACCCCCCACCTGCCATTGAGTGATGCATATTTACTGAGTTCATAAACAGATAACGTAGGGGCTTACCAACATTAAGTAGCAGAGTCATTAGAATAAACACTTGCCAACATTCTCTTTAAATGCAGCTCAGTTGCAATCCTAAGATAGAGGTCTCTTCCAAGTGAATTGTGATATGTCATAAAGGGTCTAGCTTCAGCTCCACCAGCTGCTCCCTAGCAGATAAGTGATGGCATCAAAGGCAGGTGACAAACTCATTTACCACTGACATTAAAAAAAAAACAACAAAAACTAGTACCCTTGCCAAAATTAACACACCTGTAGAACTGGTGTTTCAACTTCAATGAAACCAGATGATTCCACTGTCTTGCGGATTTCTGAAACAATCTGGGAAAGGATATAAGTTAGCACCTTTGGACCTGAATTGCTGTACCATAACAAAGAAGTTTTTACCTTCATTTTAAAGTTCCACAAAATCGGGTTTTTCGAAAATGCAAGTTGAGCAAGATTAAAACTCAGGAATAGAAAGCAATCATTGTGAAGTTATATCTCCAAGGATAGACACTCCCACCTTTGCTCTTTTGCGGAATACATCAGCCACTTCAGGATTTGCTATCATATCAACATAACTATATGATAATAAAGCGAAGCAAAAAGAAGGAATTAGTATATATCAGGATACATGTACAAATTTGGTATGAAAGCATTGTGGAAATACAATCATCATATATCATGCTTATCACCCTTACAAACTTACGTACAGTCCTAAACCATCTCCAAAAGGATCATCAAGCATTTCTTCTATTTGAGGACTAACAAGAGACACGTTCTAGGTAACGAGTAAAATCTTCCAGGGAAATCATTTTTCAAGAACATCAAGAAACTGAATGAAAACTCACCGCTGGCGATATCTCTTATCAACATCGGTTAAACCATGATACTTGTCCGGAAGTGGAAGCAGAGACTTTGTAAGAATGGTGAAAGATTTTACACAAACAGAAAGCTCTCCTGTTAAATTTAACAACAGTTCAGAGAATATCATACTGGACATTACCAAGAATTAGAAAATTAAGCACAGGAAACGCAGACAAATAGGTCCTGTGAAAAATGATAAAGTGATGATGGAATAGGCATAAGGCACTAAACCTTTTTCTGTCCGCTTCATTGAACCACTAGCACCCAATATGTCACCGATATCAACAAGGTTCTTCAGCTGGTCAAATTGATCATCCACGAGCCTCTCTTTCTCACAGTAAAGCTATGACAGAGAGAAACTAGAATTACGACATTACAAGGAGAGAATGAATTCTTAAAATGATTGATTAGTCCAAAACTAGGTCATGCCTGAGTATGCCACAAGATGGTCAGAATAAATGGGTGATGAAGCTTTTTTGCAATGTCATATGGAGCGCTTGCAGACAAGTTACCTAAGGAAAAGAATGTGAAAATAGTGAAACACACACCTGAATAGTCCCAGAGTCATCTCTCAGTGTCAGAAAAGCAAGCTTCCCAAAAGCCCTGCGGGCAACAATTCTCCCAGCTACGGATACATGATCACTCTCACTGTTTGATTCTTCGCCGTTCCCCAAATTCCTATACAACTCCTGCAGCTGATTAGCAGTATGAGTTCTGTCCCATTTATATGCATAGGGCTCAAACCCTTTGCTCCTTAGTTCCTCCACCTATAAATCCAAGCAAAATCGTAAGCTACAAAATACCAAAATTCTCTTGACCTGCAACTGTAATTGGCCAAAGAAGAGAACTTTGGTGGGTCCTTTCACTTGTTGGCATATTCAGCTTGTGCCAATTGCTGATTATGTTTGGGGAAAAAGAAACAGTTAGAAACTGCCTCTGTGTCTCTCCCTCGGAAAGAAGGAGAGGCATTACTTGTTTGTTTCTGAATTTCAAAACCGAAATTCCTATTAGAAGTATGGAGGTAAGAAGATTATTTTTGTAAAGATTGCATTTTGGTGAAGAAAAAATCTGGGGAGTCATAGGATTAAGTAAAATATCTCAATCAGATAGCAATGCAAGTAAAAGCAATGAGGAAGTCGACAGACAATGACCTTTTTCAGCCTAATAGCTCGAACGGCCTCACGGTCTGAAGTGGACGAAGATGAAGTAGGAGAGGAAGAGGAGGAGGAACGGCGGCTGCGGCCGGCAGGCCTGGCTGAAGCTACGCCGCCTCCGGTGGCAGCAGGGGAGCAACATCGGAGAATTGAAGTAGAATAATATGCAGGATTTGGAGTGGGAGCTGAAGAAGTAAAGTGGAGAAGATGGCGACGGAATGGCCGAGAAGATAGGCTCAACACCTTCAATGCCTCCATTCTCGCTCCCCCTGCTTCTCTCTTGCAGTTCCAGCTTTACCCGCCTCGCCTCGGGGTTCAACGGCGATAGATGTGCTTATTCCTTTCTGCTTTCTCCAAAGCCCTGCACAATACTCTACCCAAAAAAAAAAAAAAAAAACCCTGCACAATAAAATTAAATGCTCGTTGGTACCTCCTTCCCAAGGTTGTCAAACCGGTTTATGCCAGTGTGCCGGTTTAACAAGTGGAATGGTTCAACCGGTGGTACATACCGGTTTGTGCCGGTTCATGCCGGTCAGTATTACAAATAAAATTATAAATACTCATATTTAAACATTTCATTTACCATGAATACCTAAACATTTATACTTGAATCCAACAAATAACATCAATATTTAACTTTTATACTCATAAACTAAATAATAAAGTAATTTTTATCAATTAAATTCTCTAAAATAAGGTCAATTTACTTAGAGATTCGTATATCGATCATGTCGATCATACCGGTGGTGTCACGCCGGTTTTATGACCAGTACCAGTTGAACCCGGTACAACCAGTGCACGCCGGCCGGCGTGACAACCATGCTCCTTCCTAACCTCCCTAACGTATAGGCCCTTGAACTATAAACTCATAACATCTGTAGTCTGTACCCACTACGCATTATAAGCAAAACAACTGATCTGTTTTGTTTATGGACCGAAATGGAATCAGGCCTGCAACAACCACGTCGGCCCATTTAAAAATTGGGCCACAGGCGCTACCTGCAGAGTGCAGAGTAATCGCGAACCCCATAAAAAAAACGGCGAAACGTTTCCAGAAAAGTGGAAGCTTGAGTAAACAAGAGTAACCTTGCCAAAAGATCTCGAATCATCAAAACACTGACAGAGGGAGAGGGAGAGGGAGAGGGAGATCGGAAGAGTCGTCGTTTTCTTCCTTGGCGGTGGCGGACCGAAATGGTGTTCAACAGTGTGATCGTGCTATCAGTAGCACACGTGTCGGTAGAGGCATGGCAGCAAATTGCTTGCCTCCGATTGCAAAACCGATTCACTGCTCCTCAGCTCCTTGATCTTCTCTGCTGCTTCCCTCTCCATCAACTCGGTCGCTTCGCTGTTTGCCTCTGGACTTTCCTCTGCTTGCCACCTTCAGATTCCTTCTACTCCTACTCCTACTCTTCTTCTTCTTCTTCTGCCGATTCCGATGACTCCGACGACGGGGGTGATATTGTGTTTGTTGTTGCTCGTAATCCTCTCAGACGAGACGGTGCCTCGTCCTTCTCCTCCTCCGTCTCCGCCTCCACCGTCGCTTCCCCCTACTCCTCCCCCGTCCGTATTGACGATTACATCCACCATTCCCACTCCGATTGACTCGCTGCTTCGGCTGATAATTTCGTCTATTACTGTACAGTAACTCTCCTGCTCCCTAGTGCAGTATCTTCATTTCGACTTGTATGGTGTCCGTTATATGTATTTACTTGTTGCTGATTCTTGAGATCTTGTTGCTTTCCTTTGAGAACAATTATATGTCTGTGTTTTCTGAACTTTGCGATTTCGTTGTGAAATTATAAGATCTTGCGGAGGGAATTTGACTTGCATTTCTCCACTGCTTGCTGTCACTTGGATTCTACTGATGTCTTGTGTGTCTCAATCAATGTGCAGTGCTATGGCTTCTCTGCTACCACTCACCATTTAGCATAGCGAAATTGATCTTCAATCAATATAATAGTTGTTCACCTCCTGAAAAGTTTTCAGAAATGATATGATTATTTGGAATTCCATAACTCGATTCCACTTCCCCCCTATATCCCACCACCTACATTCTGTGATGGAGTACATGTTTCACTAGCTGAAATTGCAAAGCATGTCAGTTGATTGCTGTTGTGCAGTTTCTTAGCCTCGAATTTGTGAACTCGCTGCATTCTGATTTCTGTGCTAGCTCTTTCTTTTACCTTCTTTAGCTCTATCTTGTCTTTCAAAGCCCTTATAATCGCCAACCTGCTAGTAACGTGCTATGTTTTCTCATGGACACCGAGTAATTAGAAATTTCTTGGCTTGCCAGTTAAACACAGTATGAGTAGGGTTCCTGTGAATGAATCACAACCTTATTCTAAGTCATAGAAGGGCTGGCTTATATGGTTTCCAGTTCCACATAGATTTCGATTACTGCAACAAGTGCTTATGCTCTATGGCCACCATCAGGCTTATTTTATTTGCTATGGTTTGCTGAGTCTGGAATATGACTAAAACTTGTCTTTTGATTTTTCATTTAATGTCTCCGAGTCTTTCTCCTCTATGTTGACTTGTTGGTATTCAATTGAAGCAGGAAGGATGACTGTTACATGATTTGTTTAACCCCGAAACAGAATTAGACTATCTACCACTCCTTGCCTTTGGTTAGGCTGGTGAATAAATGCTTTAAGAATGTTCAGCTAGTGACTACAGTAAACATTTCGACATCTAATTTACATTGACAAAAATAAGATAAGATGCTTCATAGATAGTAACTAGAGAGACTGCTGAAAATTATGGTGTATTCAGCATGGAGCAACAATACCCCGAGACACCCCAGCAGATGCCCAAGATGTTTGTTGATTTGACGATGATTGTTTATTTACCTAGGAAGTTTCCAGGGCCTTTGATTAGTGCATGTCCTGTTACTAAAAATTATGCCTCTTTGTCCACTTTATTTGCACTGGATTGAAAAGAAAGACTATCAGTAAATTTCCAACTTCCGATGGCCGATTTTGTCATCTTTCTTCCACAACTTGCAGGGATGGAGCTTGGTTGTAGAAAGTTTAGACTTTGTTTCCTTCGTGTGAGAGAGTCTCTGGCTAGTATCATGTTTGCAGTGAAACATGTTGGTTGATGCCTGAGATTGTTTGATTTGTAATCCAGTAGCGATAGGTACCTCTGCATAATTGGTTTTAACAACCGATGTCTACTCCACTATATGTCCTTACTTGTTAGATTTTTGTTTACGAAGTATTGAACGAAGACTAGCAAGGCCTTGTTATTTAGATCTTTGGTGCAAGGCCTTGTTATTGTACCACATAGATAGTTGTTATTGTTAATAATTGAACATCTAAGGATCAAATTAAGAAGGTAGAAGCTATATGCATGAAGTTCAGGCCCTTGGTCCCCTCCATTTGTTGTGGATGCTCACCATCCCTAGTTGGTCCGCTCCATGAAAGTTGTATTCGACGACATTGTCATGTTGACGCCCATGTGCTTTTCTGTAATTGCTAGTAATCTAGTTTTAAGAAATAAAATGAAGTAGCAAGGAAACAATCATTCGAGAGAGCTGATATATATGCATGTGCTTAGTCTGGATGGCTTGTTGGGACTCATAACATTCTTCTTAGTCCATTTATTTAAAGTTAGTTTGCCTAAACTGTCTTTGCTTTTACATTATGAGCTTACGTTTTGGGCGGTACAAATCTCAAAGCTGTGACAGCCATTTGTGTAGAACGTCGTAAGCATCCAGTTGAAGAGCCAGGGGCGCAGTTGAAGCAGTCTTGTAGGAAAACCAGAAAGTGTGAAGGTGAGTTTGTCTGAACTCTGAATACCAAGGAAAATAGACCTTATGTTGGACTAGGCTTTCCAAGTAGCAGCATGCTTCCAGCTAGATAGATTGATGGTTCCCGGGTTTTTTGAAAATTTGTGTTTAGAGGAAATATAATATTACAGGAACTATGCATTTTAGGCTGATATAATATGTCGATGGTTAAGTTTTAGAGTGAAAATGATTAAAATTAGAGATGATAATGTAAGGGAACTGTGCAGTTGTAGTTGAGCACTTTTTTACAGTGCTGTCAAAGCCGAACCGAACCGCTCGGCTGGACCGCCAAAGCCGCCACCCGGTCGTAAAACCGGCTCGGATCAGCTATTTAACCGCCACGATTTTATACAGCGGCCGAAGCGGTTAACCGCTCGAGCCGCTCAAGCCGGTCGCGCGGTTCGGCCGTTTGGTTTACCCTTAAAAAAAATCGAGAAGGCCAATCGTGGAATGGGGCAGCCAAACAAAACCCTAACTTTCATTTTATTTCTTCGATTTCGACCTAGAACAGACTACAGAGGGAGAGCGGCGCCACCCTGCCGCCGTCAACCATCGCCCCAGCTCGCCAAACAAAACCCCAACTCGCCATCGCCCCAGCGCTTCCGTCCCGTCGCCATCGCCGCAAGCAGCTCGCAATCGCCACAAGCAGCGCGCCATCGCCAGTCGCCATCGTCGCTTCTGCTCCCCGCTCCCGGCGCTTCTGTCCCCGTCGCCATCGTCGCAAGCACCCCCTGCTCCTGCCGCAACATCTCCCCCAACCACTGCCCTGCTCCAGCCACTGCCCTTTTGGTACTTATGTTTTAGAATTGTTAAGAGTTAAGAATGTAATTTACTAATTTAGTCATGGTTTACCATGATTAATAAGTGTCCACTATTTATAGTTTTATACTGATTATTTATCAGGTACCGGCTTTCTAACGGTTTTTAAACGGTTTAATGTCGGTTGGACCGCTAAAGACCGAGCCATTCACATTATCGGGTCATACTCCGGTTCGCTTTTGACAACATTGCTTTTTTAGGATGTGGTAGAAGGTTGAGCCAAGAAAGACAGAGGAGACTTTGAAGAGGGAGCTATAGGCTTGGTTATGGTTAATGATAATAGTTTTATTTACGACTTTCATGTTTAATAGCTGCCTGAAATAGAGCAACGCATCAAGCAAGCAAGTTATAGCTGTCCTGTTATATTATGGATGCATAATTGGGAAGATCAAGAATAAGGAGTGGGAATATTTGTTGGAAGTGCACGACAACCATTCTAGCATTTAGTTTATAGCAATTTTTTATGCGTATTGCCGGCTGAAATTGCGCTCCAACAACAAATGTCTTGTCTACCAAGGATGAGGGTCCAATTTCGCGGCCAATTCACTTGTTGGTAATTGCGGACTTAGCTGCTTTAACTTGTGAGGCTATTTTTTTTTTTTTTAAATAATCATATTGATTGAATTAAAGATGAGAGATCACACCATGGACTTAATTTAGGAACAAAAATCAAAGGAACGACAAGAGGTTGGAGGTGAAGAGAGGGTCTTTCGAGCCACAAAATGGACTAACCTATTGCTAATCTAACTTACAAATCGAATATGGAAACCACAAGATCGGTGTTGTAACTTGTGAGACCTTCGCCACTACGCTTGTGAGGTTTCCTTTTTTTTTTACAATGGGTCACTATGGTTTTTATCATTTATTTAATTGCGGTTTTCTCGTCATTCTTTTACAATTATCTTTGACCGTTAACTTCGCCCGTTTCGTAATAAGATGTGGTTAAAAATGTACATGATCACAACCCACGTTTTCACGGGGAACATGGCTCGTGACATGTGCTTAAAAAATATTGGAATAGATATCTTGTTATTATTTTGTTAACTATTAAGGCAAAAATATATTTTTATAGTCACAACTATCACGTTTGTGACGACAAATATATCCACATCTTTAAAAATATACAAAATGGTCACTTCCGTCAAAAAATTTAACAATGTCGCTTAATAGTATGATTGGACATACGAAAATGCTGAGTGAGTTGGCAATATTCCATCTCCACCAGTATATGTGGATTAATACAAGTGGATTAACAGCCACGTTTTATTTTAATTAGTAATTTTCCTATTTTAATTAATATTTATTAATTAATAATATAATGCCTCACATGAGAGTTACTATTCATTGTGTTTAGTTATTGTTCGCTAGGTATTCGTCTATGACTTTTTGTACAAATCATCGCCTTGCCCACCATTTTGCAGCTCATCTCGAAATACTGTCGGCGGAATCCAGTTGTTCTCCACCACCATTTCCCAAGGCCGCTACCACAAGTTTTGTATCAGGATCGAGTTTCGTCATCTTTAGTGTTTTTTTTTTTCTTTTTTTTTTCTTTTTGTTGAGCATGATCACAATTGAACCCAAACATATTGGTATCCTAACTTGAAATACTGTCGGCGGAATCATAGGTATTCCCCACCATCGTTTCCCAAGGCTACTACCACGATTTTTGTATCGGGACTGAGTTTCATCATCTTTAGTGTTTTTTTCTTTCTTTTTTTCTCTTTTTGTTGAGCATGATCACAATTGAACCCAAACACATAGGTATCCTAACTTGAATACAAATCATCGTCTTTGCCCACCATTCTGCAGCCCATCTCGAAATACTGTCGGCGGAATCCTAAGTTGTTCCCCATCATCGTTTCCCAAGGCTGCTACCACGAGTTTTGTATCGGGACTGAGTTTCATCATCTTTAGTGTTTTTTCTTTCTTTTTCCCCTTTTTGTTGAGCATGGTCACAATTGAACCCAAACACATGGGTATACTAACTTGAATA